CGAATACATCACGGGTGGCTTGCCAGGCTCTGCTGTGTGGGCGAGATACTCTCAGTAGCTTGCCGGGCTCTCCGAGAGGGGTGGAGGAATCGAACTCGGGATGGCCATGTTGGCTGCATGCAAGGCAAATGCCCTACCACTGTGCTATCGCTCCAGCGAACAGCACCCGGCCCAGACAAGGTCAGACCTGAACACCACAAGAACCTACCGTCAGTACTCATCAATTCACTGGCTCGGCTCTTAACATGCTACCTGTCTGAATGTAAGGTTCCATCCCAATGGAAAACCAGCAGGACTGTGATATATTTAGTCATATATATTTGTGTATAATAGTTACTCTACATACTTATCAATATTGAGTTTGCCAGTTAATTTTTTTTTTTAAATTTTTATTAGTGAAACACCATGAGATACAGTTGTAGACTTACAAACTTTTGTGCTTGGATTTCATTTATACAATTGTCAAGTACCCATCCCTCCACCAGTGCCCATTTTCCACCACCACGGGTCCCAGTATCCCTCCTGCACCCCATGCCCCCCATCCAATCCTGCCTCTATCACAGGGCATTCCCATTTGTTCTCTCTCTCCTTTTGGGTGCTGTGGTTTGCAAAAGAGGCATTGAGTGGCAATCATGTTGGTTCTATAGTCTACTTTCAGCATGCTTCTCACATCCTGGGATGATCGTCCCAAGACCCTTTATTTGGTGCTCCCTTCTCTATCTGAGCTGCCTTTTCCCCTAGCATGTGTAGCTGGCCTCCAAGCCATGGAGCAAAATTCCTGGTACTAATCTCGGCCATTCTTGGGTGTTAGTCTTCTATTTTGTTACTTTATGTTCCCCAGATGAATGCAATCTTTCTATGTCTATCCTTCTCTTTCTGACTCATTTTGCTTAGCATGATAGTTTCCATGTAGTACCACTTATATGCAAATTTCATGACTTCATCTTTTCTAACAGCTGCATAGCATGATACTTTCCATATTGTACCACTTGTATGTAAAATTCATGACTTCATATTTTCTAACAGCTACATAGTACTCCATTGTGTAGATGTACCAAAGTTTCTTTAACCAGTCATCTGTTCTTGGGCACTCAGGTTTTTTCCAGATTCTGGCTATTGTAAAGAGTGCTGCAATGAACAAACAAGTGCAGATGTCACTTCGACTATACTTTTTTGCTCCTCTGGAATATATTCCCAGGAGGGGTATTTCTGGGTCAAATGGGGGCTCAATTTCTAATTTTTTGAGAATCATCCATACTGTTTTCCAAAAGGGCTGAACCAGTCAGCATTCCCACCAGCAGTGAAGGAGGGTCCCTTTCTCACCACATCTGCGCAAGCACTGGTTGATTTTGTTCTTTTGTATGTGGGCCAGTCTCTGTGGTGTGAGATGATATCTCACTGTGGTTTTGATTGTCAGTTCATTTTTAAAAATTCTATTTTAATCACATTCTGATAATGCAGAGTTGTGGTAACTCACTGTGATTTAAATACACACCTCATTATTTCTAGTGAAGTTTAACTTTTCTTTTTACATATGACTTAGTATTTGGGATATCCTTATTTGTGAGATGGTTGTATAAATACTTTACAATTAATCATTATAGTGTCAATTTTTAAAAGCAACACTTAGAGATTTTCATGGGTAGTGGTTCTTTTGTTGGATCTTTATGTATTATTTATTTATTTTATTTACATTTTTTATTTGGCTTTATGTTTTCCCAATAGATGATTTAATAGTCAGGGATTCTTAATTCTACCTTATCAACTATTAGTGGTTATTGTTTTTATTTTTTATATAAGAAATCTTTGCATAACTCAAATTCTTAAAGTTATTCTATATTGTAATTAACATGGTTATTAGTATGCATGTTATATGGTAGTAGTGGGGTGTACTGTTTCCTGTCTCCCTTAAAAAACTGAATTTCAATTCATATTACACAAAATCCAGAAATCACAGGCAATTACAGTGATTATTACTTGTGCAGTAACATAAGAAATTCAAGGGAAAGTCCTGGAATACTAGCACCTGTGTCTCATCAGCACGACTTTGCTTTCAGATGTTTCAGAGAGAAAAAGGAAGAGACTAGTGGAGGTTATAGAGAAAGACTTTCTACATTGTTTGGAGAAAATCAAATACATTTAAGTAGATGCAATGTATCTATAGTGTGAATTGAAAGAGTGAAATTGGATAGAGAAAAGAAAATTAAGGTATCGAAGCAAAAAAAAGTGATAGAGAAAAAGCCACATCAATATATATTGTGAGAGTTTTAATGTCTAGTGGCTTTGACTAATGAAACTGCTCTTTATATGACTTAATTGATTCTAGATGAAATAGATTTTAGGAACCCAAATAGAAAACATAGAAAAATTATTTCTCTTGAAGACGATATAACTTTATTGAGTTTTTAATGTTTTGAATTATCTTTGGAATTTTAGATGGAAACATCTTGTGACTATTTAGTAATTAAATTTAAAAAGAATTTTGAGCCACCCCTAGTGACGCTCAGAAGTGCGCTCAGGAATTACTCCTGGGAGTGCTTGGGGAACCATATGGGGTTCCAGGGACCAAACCTGGGTTGACTGCATGCAAGGCAAGCACTCTACTTGCTGTACCACTTCTCCAGCCCCATTTTAAGCATGGATATATAAATTGGACTACAGACAAAAGATTAGGAAGTTACTGGTGTGTATTAAAATTTTTGTTACTTAGAGAATTAAACAATATTTAAAAACAAATGAAATAAAATAAAATATATTTTAAAATAAATTAAAAAAACAAACATGAATATATACCATCAGAAAAACATTCTACCAGTAATAAAATTGATAACAATTGAATAAGTTGTCAGGTAGGAAAATGAATTTCATCCATCAGAAATTCGGCTGGCAAGCCACATAAGAAAGACTCTTGATACAGTTTCTCACAATTCTTACCCTTCAATGGTCTCATTCTTTAATAATGGCCATTGAGACCATTAATGGTTTCTTACATTCTGGGGTCTATTGCAATCATTCTGGGTTTTTTGGTCTTCTTGTATGTCTTATTCTTAAAACATAAAGAAAATAAATGAACATGCACTAAAATAAAAATGTGCTGCATTTGAGGAAGCAACATATTGTATTTCTTGAGTAATAAATTATTGTATCATTTTAATTTTATTTTTATTTTTGGGCATGTGATGTTCCAACACCAGTCCCTTTAGTGTGACCCTTCCCTCCACCATTGTCCTATATTCCACACACCCCACAAACCATTCCCTTTGACAGGCACAACATAATTTATTTTTATTGCTTGTTTTAACTAAATGGTAAATAGAATTATCAAAAAATAGTTTAGAAAGAGGAAATTTGTGAAAATTGTCATATCTCATAATAGGGTTATTAGTCATGGAGGATTTACTAAGTGGTTTATAGCCTTTGGTGTTATTGTTTTTGATTTTTGAGTTTCCCAGTGACTTTCCCATCTAATTTGCTGTGCTACTGGACTGTCAGTATTGTGGTATTTGGAGGTGTCACATCACTGCATATTCTGCTGTGCAGACCAGATTCAGTTTTCCAGGATCTGTAAAACTGGGATGATTCTTGGCACACCCTCTCTACAGGAGGCCCAAAGTCAGGTGTACACGTGATTTTCATCAGTTTGAAATCTCTCCTGAGATTGGCTATGAAGCTGGGCCATTTGTACGGTGGTAACTGTGGAGTAGGGGTGCAACTGCTGGGGCCTCAGCAGGGTGGGAACTCAGACAATCCTTCCTGAAGGGGCCCCAAAATTTTCAGCTTGGGGAGGGATGTATACGTGTGTTTCATCTCATGGCTTGGCATCTCTTCTGAGATTAGTCAAGAAGCTGTAAAATTGGGCTGTTTTGCTGGCAGTGACTGTAGGATGTGGGTGTGGATGCTGGGAATTCCAGTAATCTTGTGTTATTTTTATTCAGAAACTTTTAAAATGATTTTTGTATAGTTTAAAAATTAAAAGCATGTTCTATGATACTAGTTCTAAAAATGAAAGGAGAATTGATTATTTACCCTGAACTATGTTGAGGTGATAGCAAAGGAAATATATATAGTGAAGGCTCAGAAGAAAAATATTCAATGAATAAGAGAATCAGAATAGAGAAGAGATTTTTTTTAAAGGTACAGGTTAATGACCTTAAAAGTTTCAATGATGGCAAATAAGAACAAGACCAAAAGTATGAAATAAACATTGAACTAAATTATGAACTTTTAAATGTAAGATAAAAGGTTTAACTGAATATTACTTCAAAACCAACATTTCAGAAAAAACTTCTACCTTTTGTTAAGAGTGTATTCATGTAACAAATTTATTGAGATTCAATTTTTTCTAAGCAATCAGTAAGAGAGTACCAAACAGAATGAATTTTATTGAACAAGAAACATATATAGGGCACTATTACACAAACATTGATATATATTTCAATCTTCAATACAAAATAAAATGTATTTCTCTCATATATATGCAGTGGGATTTAGAAAGTTAATAAAAAATATATGCAACAGAATTAGTTATTAGGACTTGATATAAACTACAGCAAATTAAATATTTTATAAAATAATTAAATTCAATAAAATTCAATAATATAAATTTTCTAAATTTATTAAAATAAGCTTATTTAATAAGCAAATTTATCAAAATAAGCAAATTAATTTGTTGAAATAAGCAAATTTAACAAAATAAGCTTACCAGTTTCTCTTCTGAACACTATTTACTATTTTGTTAACAGGCATTATTTCTTAAAGAAAAAATAACTCCAGGAAGTGAAGAACAAAGCAGAAGAAAATTCCACTTGGTGACACCTTTATTCAACCTCATCCACAGTTCAGTTTTGAAATACTCTATATTTGGCAACATAGAGATAAATAAACCACCAAAATACATTTTTAACATATCTGTTGTCCATGGAATCCAGCCAAAAGATTATCAATTGAAAGAACACCGCACAGCCTATTGTTTTTAGTATAACCTCTACCCCTAACTCAAGATGGTGCCATTAGCATCCAATAAACACTTAGTGTCGTTAGAGAATGCTTACCAAGTAGCCACAACAAACTCATTAACAAAGCAACCTGTAGGTGAAAAATTAAGTCAGCTCAGTAAGCAACCTGTGAACAAAGTACCAACACATACTAATTTTGTTGGAGCACCTTCATTAAATTCTAACCAGAAGGTGGAGGGATGCTCAGTATTGTATTCTCCCAAGACTCGGGACAATATTTCACGGGACCCCCATAATAGGGCTCTGAAATCATTATCCTACTCCAAAAAACCATCTGTTCCCTCACGAGATCGTCACCAGAGACTATCGTTGAAGTCGAATCAACGTGTCACGAACTCACCTTTGCCTCACCCCAAACCTCAAACATCTTCACTGAATCTGAATAAAACGTTATCACTGAAGCACAATCAAGTACCTTTGACCTCTCAGTTATCTGTCACTAAACCTCAGGATACCTCCTCTTTAGGCAGTAGTAGGACACCCTCTACACCCAAGTCTGATAAAAGAGTCTTAAATTCTTCCTTTTCATTTTTCAAACATCAAGAAACACGACCCCTAGACAGTCTCTGTACATCATCATCATCCTTACAGCCCCATAAAAAAGAGCTTATGGCAACTGTACCGCAATACAAGGCTCAGAAAACATCTTCATTGAACAGCCTTTGGACATCTTTAACAGACCACAGCCAAAGACCGTTGAGCTCACCCTCTCTCAACTCTGCACCGAAGACAAATAGCGTACTTCAGAAATCACCTTTGTTGGAGCATAATCAGATGACTCCAAAATCACCACTAGCTGACTCCAAACCTCATACAAGACCTTTATTGAAATCTGATTCCTGTGCTCAGAGCATACCATGGTCCCACTCAAGATCAGGGACCTCTTTGTTACCACATTCTGTACATCGGTTCCAGAATTTGTTTCAGTCCAAATCTCAGCCAGTGTTTACACTTGATCATGTCTCGAAGATACCAGGTTCACCAGTTTGTCACTGTAAGTTTCAGCACGCCACTTCACTGAATGATAAATCGAAAGCCTCATCTCCATTCCGGTCTAAATCAAGTACCTCCAGCCGATTATCATCCAGTTCCAAAAAGCACATCGGAAACAGACCTACCTCACCAGTCACTTCAAGACCCCAGAATAAAAGCAGCTTAGAATTTTGTGCAAAGGTAGAGCCAAATAAAGAAATTCCATGGACTTTAGATGTCACTACCCCCTGCATTGTTAGAGGTGGAACTCTCTCTGATGATGTTGTAAATAAAATTATCAATTCTCTCTCCAAGACTAGAATCCAAAAGGATCTCTGTAGGCAGATTCTCTATCGAAGGATGAGGGGAAAGCCCAATCCTCACCCTGGTCCCCGCCTTTCAGTAAGTTATTCAGTTTGTTTAACTTGCGCTTCCTGCGTAAAACCTCAGTGTACCCATCTTACAGGAAAGAAAGATCCTCATGGTGCGACACTGTTTGTCATACCAACACCTGAACCCAGTCCTGAGGGGAAAATAAAGGTGAAACTAATTTTTATCCTTTCTCTACCAGAGACTTCTGTCTTACCTTCTCTCCCATTCTCTGTGAAAGGAAGTCAGCCTGATGAAGTCCTTGAAGACAATCTTAAAGGAATGGAAAAGATATCACAATTTTTCCCGAAACCTGAACCTGCTATCTCCCAAGGGCTTAATATGAAGAAAGAATGGCCACCAGTGGCCCCTGAAAACAAAATTTTAAACCAACAACCCCCTGCTACTGACTGGCTGCTTTGTGTTAAGAAAAACAATTCTCAACCACAGGCTTTGGTTCTGTCTTCTTCCACCAACTCCAAGGCCTCCTTTTCTTCTTCCTCCTCCTCTTCATCATCATCTTCCTCCTCTTTTATTCAGGAGCACTCCCTAAACTCTCCTCCCAAAGAAACTGCCTCTGCTACTGTGTCAGGTTGTGTGCTTGATAACGCGCTTAGTGATTACAAGTTGCCTCCAGGTGTTTCCTGGCTGGACTTCATACGTAGTAAAAACGACCGGCCACTTCCCAATAAACTGCATCTAAGTCAATCACCATCTTCCCAAATGACTATCAGGAATAACACCCTAGAAAAAGGGACAAAAGGGTCAAAGGCACTGTTCAAATTTTTTCAGACACATTCGAAGTGAGAGAAATCATGATTAAATTAGTGTTGTTTCCTTAGAAGTAGTTGGCCTCTCGGTTCTTTGTTTCGACTAGTTTCATTTCTATTTCATGTTTATTAAAATTGTTAGCAAATACTCAGTGTGGCTTTATATTTTAGTTGGTGAAGCACATAGTTAAGTGGAATGATTAAATTTACTCTCTAGTTAAAGAAGCCTCTGATCTCCAAAAAGTCAGAATTGAAAACTACTTTTAACTAATTGTCTATTTATAAAGCTAGTATATCATTGTTAAATTGATTAATCATAATTGACAAAATACCAGAAATACCTTATTTTCTTTCCCTGAATGGCATCTCATTGTTACTCTTATTCTTTCTGAGAAATGAAAAGTAACTTTGACTCATTTTTTGCTTATTTGTTTCTCATTCTTTAATGAAAATTCAGATTATGTTTAGCAGGTTAGAAATACAATAGAGAAGAATCTTTCATATGCACATTTTTAAGGAAAAATTTTCAGTATTAAGATACAATGCTAAAACCTATGGTTTATTCAATCTTATTTAACAAACCTACAAAGAAAACTGGTATAGATAATCCTATTTCACATTGATTGCACCAATATTTAAATAAGTCATCATTTCTATTAACTTTATTATTTCTATGTACATAGTCAAAGTGGGTTAATGAAAATGTTTTAAAAGTTTTTGTTCTATTGAGTGAACTGGTAGTGGGAAGAGATGGTTATTGTCTTTCTTATTTATTCTAAGGGATTATTTCAGAGAAAAATAATTGGTATTTTTTTTGCATGGACTGATTACTCATAAATCTGTTTCTTCACCCCTCATCTTGCTGATCATTAGATTGCATAGAATTTCATTTGGAACAATGCACATGTTTTGCATGTTTTTATTTCTATTTGTGTGTCTACTTTCAATTTTTTTAGGGAAAATAATTCTTTTTTAGCATATTTTATGATTTTCAAATTTAGAAATAAACTTAACCTAAACTTCTATGGTAAAATGTATGAGCAACAAATAGACAACTCTCTTCCATTTCTAATTGGAATATCATTGGCACTATAAAATAAAGAGCAATGTGAATTTTGGACAGATCTCATATTCATGATGTTAGAACAATGACAACAAAAAGGCAGGGTCTGGTGGGGGAAGCAGTACAGTGATCTCGATTACACTCTGGCACCACATGGGCTCCAGACCCCAAGCTCCACTAAATGTAGGTTGGTTGGTCGGGTGTTCCCAGCATCACAAGGCTCCAGTAGCACATCATCTCTGGGCCCTCTCTTTGAAGCACAGTCCTCAGGTTCACTGAATATTGCTGAGAGTGACACCTGGATCCCTTCAGCAATGCTTGGGATACCCCCAAACAGAGTATTAAAATTCACTGCATTTAAAGAAAGAAACCAGCAAAAAAAAGTTATAGAAAATATTGATTACAACTTATTAAAACTCTTTAGCCCAATTGGAAAAAGCTAGAAATGTAAATAGACCATATCATAATTACAGGTAAACTCTGGGTCCTAGGAGTTGCCATAACTGAAAAGGCCAATTGATGTAAAACATTATGACAGATCTGGATGACAATAATATAGAATCTAAATGTACATATCATTTTTGTATGTCATCCTCCTTGGAATTTATTTTAATGAAATCATTATTATTACACTAATGTAAACAAGCAAAATCTTCTATTATAATACTAGATTTGAAAAAAAAACACCTAAATGTTTGTTTATAGAAAGTGTTTACAGTATGATCCATAAATGAAATTTTTCCCAGTGAAAGAACTATGACTTCTTTTTGGTTTTGAGACAAAAACACTGGCTCTCTAGTCAGTGATCACATTTTACAGGGCTCAGGATACTAAGTGGGGTGCTGGGGATCAAACCTGGGTTGGTTTTGTGCAAGGCAAGTGTCCCCCCAAAACTGTGATTTATAATATTGTGCCTACATTTATTTTAGAAATAGGACTATTTTTTATAGGAAAAAATTTTGTTGAGAACCACTAGGTACCAATAATGACACATAGTGTTTTAGCATGTGTTGGAAAAAAGAAAACAAAGAGTAGATAGTTAAACTACATCTAACTTTCAAACGAATTCCTTGTGCAAGAGAGGAAAAAGTTTTATCATGTATAATCCATTTTAAGTGCATTATGCTCATATTTTAAGTGGATTAAAATATGCTCATATTTTAAAACCAGTTTATATGATGCCACTTTTTAAACTATTGGAGTCATGCATATACATAGGTGTAGTTGTGTGAAGTATATTTTAATATGTATATGAGAACAATGGAGGACTAGTTATAAAGGAATCTTTAAAAAATGGAGAATTTAGAAAATAGCTTTTTTCCCTTTTTATTTTTCAAATCTTCAATGGTATTTATTTTACTGTTATAATCAGTAGTTCCAACTAAATGCCTTAAAATAAAAATGAAAAATTTCAGTAATCTCTCTTAAATGACATTTATTCACATAGTGTATTGGAGCGATAGCACAGCTGTAGGGCGTTTGCCTAGCACGCAGCCAACATGGCCGACCCGAGTTCGATTCCTCCGCCCCTCTCGGAGAGCCCGGCAAGCTACCAAGAGTATTCGATATGCCAGACACAGTAACAACAAAGTCTCCAATGGAGATGTTACTGGGCCCGCTTGAGAAAATCGATGATCAACGGGAGGGACTTTACTTTACTTAGTTTTGTTCACACACTTCGTAACATCTCTGATAAGTATATCATCACTAATACACCATATTACTTGAAACTGTGTACATTTAATAAGAGTCATGAGAACTGTCATTTTAGGGTATAATTTAAATTCCAAATATGTGAGTTGCTGATAATAAATAAAAACATTGAAATCAAGTTCATGAGCTCATTAATTTTACGTAACAGCTGTCTAATATCTTCATGTACGTCTTCTCCTTTCCTCCTCCTCCTCCTCTTTCTTCTCCTCCTCCTCCTCCTTCTTCTTCTCCTTCTTCTTCTTCCTCCTCCTCCACCTCCTCCTCCTCCTCCTCCCCTTCCTTGTTCTTCTTCTTCTTCCTCTTTCTCTTCCTTCTCTTCTCCTCCTCCTCCTCCTCCTCCTCCTCCTCCTCCTCCTCCTCCTCCTCCTCCTCCTCCTCCTCTTCCTCCTCTACCTTCTCCTCTTTCTTCTTCTCCTCCTCCTTCTTCTTCCACATTGTGTTCAGTGATTACTACTGGCTCTCTGATCATGGATTACTCGCAGTGATGCTAAAGGGAACATATATGATGTTGGTGATCAAATTGGAGTCAGCTGCTTGCAGGGCAAGTACATAACCACTGTATTGTATCTCTGGTCCCACTTTTTGTACATTTATATGCAACAAAATTGTAGTGTCTGTAAAAATGATATAAACTTTCAATAGAAAAAAAGGTATTGGCTTATAGGGTTACTGCTTATCAAATTTTTCTTTCATCCAGGTTAAGAAAATACTCTCATTTTCAGGGATAGTGATCATATGTTACTAACTCTTTAACTCAAACTAGGCCACAGTTGCATAACTTGGGCACATTGTATAATCATTATCAAAATGTATTACCTCAGTAAAGATAAATAATAGATCGTGATCATTCTACAAAATAATTCTGAAATAAGCATATAATTTTACATTATTATTATTATTTAAAAATTATGGATTCAGTTTGTGCCTTAATATCTATGGCTTGGTATCATAATGTAAACATTTTTGATACTTTAGAATAATGATATATAATCCCTATCTAAACTAAAATATAAGTTACAATATTCATTTTGTAATATTTGGTAGTTTCTCTTCTATCTGCTAAATTTGTATTTTGTTTTGATCATCACAACTCAGGCCAAAATTAATACACTTCATATCCATGTAATGTTTACTTCTTGTAATTTTCTGATATATCTAATAATTTTTCTTCTTCTCAAAGATTGCTGTGTATCTTGGAGAGAATGAACACTCAGAATTTATATCCAGTCTCATCAATAATTCTATTCATTACTTAAACTGAGTTTTCTTAATTTGTCAATTTCTATATGCACCATAATGCAGATTTTTTATCCTTTGCATTATCAAACATCTGATCTTAGTTTCTTTTATTGCTTTTATACTTGGATCCTTTCAATTTATTTGTATAACTTTACATTGCACCCAAAGGAATTTAAGTAGTCAAAAATCAAAAGTGTCTATATTTTCATCATTCTTTATCCTGTATAGTGTTATGCCTTCGATGCTACTAAATTTAAATTAGCTACTAAATTTAAGTTAACATTTGGTCCTTTTATAAAATGTGGGAGAATGGACTGTAAGTAGATTTTTGTTGCTTATGGTATATGACTTTCCAACCATTTATTAATTCTCAAAAAAGAGAAAATGGTTACCTAAAATCACATTATGGAATCTGTGGCATCCTTATTCTACAAACTGAGAAGTGTTTGAATAGGGTTAGTGAAGTGTTAGATTCTTTCCCTAAAGAAGTGTTAATTGCAGTACTTTGGAATATGAAAAATAAGATAAAATATAAGGACATATTTCTCTGTCAAGCAAAAATATATTTTTAAAGGTTTTCATATTTTCTACAAAATAATGTTACTGAGATTTTGAATACCTGCTGGAATCATAGTTATGATATTTTTCCACACTATTAATCAATTAATTTTAAATTAACCTTTTTTCTTTCAGCAATTTCAATTTCCTTGGGTGTACATTAGAGGAAAAAAAATGAAGCTTAAATGAAGATTTCATAGAAGACCTTAACTGAATCTTATGGTCTACACACAGATGGTCAAGAAAGTGATTTTTTTTTAATGTCAAATTTTATTCTTTGAGTGGTCAATGGCAATATAAATATTGAGAACTTGGAAATGTGTTTTGTACCATAGTTAAACATTTTATAACAAAAGCCATATATAATGTCCCCCCCCCCAATATACAGAAGGATTTCTTTGATAGAACCATACCTTAACTATAACATTGTTGTATATGCATAGTGGGTATGTGAATTATTTTCA